CTAGATACAGGGACAATTTTTTCCCTCATGACATCACTCTGCTGAACACCTAATTCCCACAGCACTGTCTTATGCCTAAAGATACTCATATTGTATAGCTATATTACTATTATTATTATCATTCACATCTCCTCTACTACCCCCTTATTTGTATTATTATGATTATTATTACTCTGTTGCTTTGCATGTACACTGATAGCATTTTTACCAGAGACAAATTCCTTGTGTCTCTAATCATACTTGGACAAATAAAGCTTCTTCTGTTCTGTTCCATCCTTGGACAAATAAAGCTTCTTCTGTTCTTAGTGCTAGCCCCTTTTCACTGCTATAAGCAATTTTTTCTGTATCCCCAAATATTAAATATGTGTTAAGTTTGATCCTTTTAATTATCAATCAATTAGCGAGAGAAAGAGAGGGAGGGAGGGAGAGAGAGAAGAGATAGAGGATAGGTACATAGATATAAATGATTGATAGATGATAAATAGATATATTCTGCTGTAGTTGATGTATTTTTAATCAGTGCTCTTTGAAACTAGTTAGAATTATTCTGGGAGAATTGCTACTGTACTGATATGAAATGGAAGGTTGTTTATAGAGGAGACATGCACATAGTGGGAGGTGCATATGAGCGCACCTTGCTCATGTCTAAAATGCTTAAATTGTGTTTCCATATTCACACCAAAAAAGGTCAGTTAAGCTACTTAGGGTTCACAAAGAACCAATGACTGGGCAGTTCACAAGGAAAAAATATTAAAACAAAAACTATACAACATACAAGAAGGAACCAGAATGAAAGATGGAAAGATAATAAAAATCAGACAGAAGCAAAAAGCAAGATCCGCACAGCCTAAAAGGGGGTGGGGGGTTTCCAATCATTCTCATTCAGGTTTTCACAGCCTCCAAAATACAAGCTGGATGGGAGTATCTGAATCTCAAGTGGAGCCTTCTTCCACAGGGAAGCCCCTACTACAGAGAAGGGGCACTTCCACTCTCCTTAATCGGATGAATCTGGAGCATGCCAACCCTGCTTGTTTTAAAAGCTAGATTTATAACATCTCAGGTTTCTAATAATGTTTGGATTTTTTTTTTAAAAAAAACATAACATGGCCGTACCTGTATTCATGTTGTTTTTATAAAAATGAAATTTGTCTGATTTTTTTTTGCACTGAAATACATGCTTTTTACATGTTGAAGATTAACATACAAATACAAAAAATACTTCATGTAGAGCTAAGCTGATTGTTCTAACTCCTGCACAATTTATAGTGTTAATTACCAAACATTTCAAATTCAGAAGATTGGTCAGTGAGAATAAAAGCCCCTCCCCCTTTAAAACTAAAGATGTCAGGTTAAAAATTAGCTGACTTTTTATTTTTATTTTTGTGAGCCTTATGAAGTATAGTTGAGGAGTTTCCTTTTTGTTGTCTAGACCTTTGCATTTGTTTGTAGAGTGTCAGCAAATTTAACGGAAAAGAAAGTATGAACGTTATGCTCAGTGTGCAAGAACTTGGAAAAAAACATCAAAACAGTTTGTTGTAACTGTGGTCTTCTTTGCAGCAGCTTTTTGAATTATATTTTCCTTCTGAAGCAAATGCCTAGTTTATAACTGCTGGTGATGATTCATGTACTGAGCCCTAAGTGGAAAAGTATACTTAATTGGAGTGCTTTCTCAGACAGAAGGCCTCGTGGCACAGAATTTAGCTGGCCTATTGTCTGATTTGGGATTTCATTTTATGGCTAAATGCCTTCCGTAGGGCTGTGCAACAATCTGAACACAAACGGGGAAAGGGAAAAGGTGTTTTGGGGTTTACTGACAGGCTCAAATTACAATTCCTTAAGGAACCCACATTCATTCTTAGATTTATGCAGCTCGAACAGTGAGATCCAATGAAAATGGTTTTGATTCAAGAAGATACAACAGGTGTGACATTTATGTCCATGCATGCTCCTTCTGAAATCACCATGTTGCCCTAATGCCAAACATTTTGTTTTTAATTGGCAAAACACAACAACCCCTTTCCTTAACAAAACAACTGCAGATAGTTGCAATCAGTGCCTGTGCTTTTGATTGTTGTTGGTGTCAGAATGCAGAAAGCGTGTGGCAGGTTTTCCATTTCTTGTACTGTCTGCCAGACAAGAATTGGCTGTTCTCTAGACTGCTTTAAAAAATGGCTAGTTAAAAACATGCTTTTAAAATGCACATTTGATAGGTTTGGCCTCTCAAAGGACAATGAAAACTGCAGTATCTAATGGGACTTTGACATGGAATGTGAGCTGAATCTAAGTGTAGATAAGCTGGTCAGCATACTTCTATTGCCTGATGCTAAGTGTGAAAATAATGTCAGGGCACTGCAGTGAGACAAACATGGATTGGGTTAGATTTCCAAAGCAGTGAACCCAGAGTCTTTTATACAGAAGCTACTTAAGACATCCAATCTAGTTTTATGAATTAACTTGGACCCTAAAAATGCCCCCAAAATAATAAAACAAAACAAAACACTGAAGTTAGTTACAAGTGACCCTGACAATGTTCATTTGATTTTAATGATTGTATCTGTGCAACAGGTACAACCATTAAATTTGTTCATGAATCAGTGCAATATATATTCATACATGTTATTCCTTGCCTCCATTTGAGCCTCTAACCTGAAAATGAGTTTTTAAACTGATCTTATGGCACTATATTAGCCCAATGACTGTTTTGAGTTGAGAATGGTGTATGTTGTACCAAGGCATGGAAATTGCTTGGTAAGAAGTTTATCTTATTAAACCAATTGCTAACTTTCATTTTTTTGCTGAAATATTATAAAATTATGTTTTAATAGATATAACTTTTACCACCTCTGCCATTAGCATTTGGGACTACACTTTGATCTAAAACATGTAATTTTTTAAAATAAATAAATCAGTATTTTATTTCATGTTATCTCCTGAAGGCTGGCATAGAATGCAGTTGAGACATCTACAATAAATGATATAAATCAGGAAAAATTGAATTATGTCTTGTCTTCTGTGACTTCTTTAGATGGCCATAAAACAAGTTGCCATTATTCAGTCCCCTCATCTAAAATATGAACTAATGTTACAGACCTACCTGTAAGGATTATAATTAGACACTGGACATCCTACAATGATATACAAATTGGAATGATTAAGAAATCATTCATTACTTGCAAAAAGCCATAAGTGCACTGACAGTCTTTTTCCATTTAAAATGAAGAATTAATTTCCTTTGTTGGAGTGTTGTATATATGTAAGGTTATGTGTAGCAGACAAGTAATATGATTTGTGGTTGCTTGACATATTGTAATGCCCCTCTTCCAATTCACATAAAAATATGCTATCATTATATTTAAAACATACTAAAGGAATTGAAGAAACCACTTCCCAGTGCCTGCTCATGATCAGCTAGCTAAATGAATCTTATTATTTTTTAGCATGAGAGACACAGCTTCAATTGTCTTTTTAAAAAATTTGCGAAGCTTTAGTTAATGCTTCTGTAAAGTATGTCTCCAGAGACCGCTGCCATGATTTGCCTTGCTGAACTAGCAGTTTGAGACACTGGCAGAAGGCATGGGAAACAACTCCCAATGGTGGAGCAAATAAACCAATACTAGTACAATCAGATCACTTTGCATCTACAAGTTGAAACAAAAAATTTACAGCACAGTTATGTCTGACAGACATAGTTAAGAAAACAAATTTAAACACAGACACATTGGCTTGGCTTTTATTTGAAAGCCTAGATGCAATCTATAGTCATCAAGTTGTGGAAAACTTCAGGATACATGTAAAGTTTGGAAGGCAAATGAAAAGAACAATACAAATTGGACAAAAAATACATTTCAAAATTGCATGAAAACATTTTGACTGGCTTCGCCTAAAATACTCTGAATTTCCATAGGCTAATTATTTTAATACAGTTTTTCATTTTAAAAAACTTATTTAGTTTACATGTTCCCCATAGTCACTATGTCATGTAGGAACGTTATCAGATATTTTTATAGTATGAAAAAAATCTACTAAAAACTTATGCAGAAGGTTAATTGGTCATCATTCAATTTGAGCCAACAGATAAATGTTTGGGTTTATTTGTGAAAGTACAAGGACACATTAACAGAAATCTTAGTGCTATTCCAACTTGTCAAACACCAAATCTGTTGCAGTATTTCTATAGAATAGCATATTACTATATTTCCAGTATGAATCCAAAAGAATAGAAAACACAGTGCTTTCAAAAAAAAATCCTCTGCAATTCTATTAAACAGAACTATAGACAGGCTGTACTGAGATTTAAACTGAGATACGAAATAATGGCACTGATCAGCATTTTTAAAATCCTACTTTCTAAATTTGGATTCTTTTTGTCTGAAAAATAACAAAGTATTTATTTATGCTTTAAATGTAATAAAATAACTCTTTGTTCTAAACGTGTAGATTGTTATTCTATAGGTTGTGTCCAACGAGACACAGGTAAGTAATACTGTGGCTTGCTTGATCATTCCATAATTCTTTGACAAAATACAAACTGTGTAAATGAAAGCAGAAGTCTATTACAGAATCTCAGTGCAGAAAGCAATTAGAAGACAATTTAAAAAAAATTCATCTATGTAATTTCTTTACATGTTTCAAATGTATTTAACTGGCATTTCTATCCTGATTTTTTAGCACAGAAAAATGAAAATGGGCTAGTTTTCTCCAAATAAATAATATTTTTGAATATACACTGCTGAAAATAGTATGAAGGATGTAAGAGAGAAATTAGACCTTCGAAATTTTCCTTTTTCCTTCCCACATATAAATTATGCAATACTAATACTGATAAAAAGTTTAAATGTATTTTCAAATCATGCAACATTCAGCTCAATTGCAAGTTAAGTTGTGTTATTATACTTATAAAAAAGGATTGGGGATCAAAATATTATTTTAATGTATTTTTCCATAAGAGGTTTACCAGAAACTGCCAATATTTTTTTGTGCCTGAAGGGTTTTTTTTTTTAAATGGAAGCTGAGCATTTCAAGTTTTTACACAAACTTCTGCACTAACAAACTAACTAGAAAAATGTGAAAAGGTATGTTAAACTTCTTGAGACAGGTATTTTGTCTGATTTGTTAATAAGAAAGTGCTGGATCAACTCTGTGCGAGGCTGGCATTTGGCATGAAAATTATGTTTCATTCTGGATTTTATCAATGATGGAGAAATATTTAGAAACTATCCAGAAATATTCCTTTTGGTTGCTGTTTTCAGGTATTCAACAGGAGAGATCTGATACTATATAATCTGGTTTAAGAAAATTATATATGGTTTACATTAAATTCTTCTATGACCACATCTCAAGCCCAACACGTGTCTTTATAGGCAAGTCTTAAACATTATGATTCCCACAAATGCTGATTAGATACTATCCTAAAATTATCAATTTCTTGGATTTTTTTTAACATCCCCAGATAGAATTCTATTTTTTTTCTTTCTTCCAGAAGAAAATTAAGTATATCTTTTTCATACACACAGAAAACCAAAACTAAACAAATCAAAGATTGACAAGTTCCCAGACACAAGCAACTCTGTTATTGCTCTCTCACCAGCACACATTGGCAACAATCAGGATGGCTGGTAGCCCTGTTTCTTTTTCCTGTCCTTTGCAAGTTGGACTAAAAATGTAAGAAACCCACCCCCATAATGATGTCATGGTGTCATCATGGGCAGATTCTTACTTATTTTCTGCCCATTTTTTGGCTTGTTTTTCATTCTCCCGTGTCTAAGGAATGCATTTATGAAAACATCCATAGAAACTACCTAAAAAACCCTGTTTTATGAGGCTTCTATGGGATGATGCCTAATCCTCAGAAGACAAAAGAGCTAATCATCCCCATGTTTATAAATTCCCACATGGTTCACCAGATATAGTATTTCCATGATATAATTGACTTCCAGCTGACCCAGCTAAGCATATTGTGAGAACCAATCCTGTATGTTTAGAACAGCATCAACTTGTCTTCATAAACCACTAAATATCTGAGATTGCAGTCCTAAATTTATTCATCAAAAATAAATCCCACAAAGGAATTTACTCCTTTAAAATTTACTCCAGTAAGGAAGTATGGAAATGTTCCTTTTATGACATAACAAAGCTTTACATTCCATGTTTTTTTAAAAAACCGCACACATTAGAAAGCTGTAAAAAGAATAATTACACCTTGAGCTCTGAAAGAGAACAAGGCATGTCCAGCCTACAAAAGTCTTTTATGATAACAAATGAGTCTTGCTGAATTGTTCTTCCTTCTTTTTAGCAGCGACTGATGAAACCATGTTTGCCAGGGCGAGAAAGAGAGGGAGGGAGAGAGGGGGAGAGAGAGAGAGAGAGGAAGGAAAAAGAGCGGCAACTCCGTTTCCTTCTAGTCTGTGATTTCTCCATCCTTTCTCAGAAGTAATCCAAAGAGAAAAACACACCATGTTAAAGTTAATACAAAAATATTAACACTTCTATTCAACTGTTGTACACTGTTATATCTCTACATTATAACTCTTAATACTGTACAGCTATAACATAATAAAATGTGCAATTCTTTTAAAAAATTCACACACTGCATATTTTTATTATTTTATTTAAGTATAAACTTTTTTAAACACTTTACATAAATTAACTCCTCTGAGACTAATATTTGATGTACAGTAAATTGTAATTCATATAAAAATCCATAAACAACTTGTCTCACATAATTTACAAAAAAATCAAGCTTCCTTTGCTTCTCTGTGACAAGAATTCTATTTGCCATTTTCCCCAAGGTAAACCCCATGATCACCGTAAAATCCATTACCAAATTTTGATTGTAGAATAAATTGCTTGTGCCAGTGTCCTTTCAAAAAGCAGCACTGTTAAAGCCATTGGGGTGTCCATACACAAAGAGTCTTGTTCCCCTCTTAACATGAACAGAGATTATATACCACATCCTAGGCAGAGAAAGGGAGTGAGAAGGAGAAAAGAGGAGGAGGAAGGGGGAGAAAGAAGAGGAGGAAAAAAGACTAATTCTTGTAAGCAAAAGTCAACAATTTAGTAATATTTGGAAACACTGTTATCGCTTTCTTTCTTAATTACTGGAATAATCAGCCAGTTGGAAACTCTTTAGATCTTTCTTTTTAGTATTTTCAGTCCAACTTGAGTGCAGCGATATGCATATGTAAACATATTCTTTAAAGCAGATCACCTTTAAGGTCATTCAGAAAAAACACAACTCCAGTTTTTAATATTATCATTCTTCTGGAAGGCTCTCCCTTTGTTGTAGAGTCCATTCAGATTGTGCTACAGAAAAATCTGAGCAAAGATGTATATTTAGGCTCAAGTAATAATGCAGCAAACTATTTGGTCTCCCCTCTTAGAAGACACTGGCACAGGGTCCGTCTCTTTGGCAGGCCAAGATCAACCAATGTGTTACCTCTTTCCAATCTCACTTTGCCTAAGAAACTGTATATTGTTAGCACTGTCAGCTAATTCGGGGTATTGCTCAACAGAGAGTACATAGTACCCATCATATCCTTGAACTTTTCCAGCACTCAAAAGTTGCCTCTTTTCCCCTTCTGTCCATAGCCTGGCCCCTTCCTCTCCATCTCTCACTCGTTGCTGTTCTCTGGCCCAGGCATTGGAGAGAGCCCTTTGCCTAGCCTGTTCTAATATCCGTGCCTTCTCCTCATCAAGTGTCATGCCATAGCGGACATGAAGAGCCAGTGCGCCGTACTGCATTTCAACATCAGCAAACCTACGAGTCCTGCCATTCACTACAGTGGTGGACTGGGAAACTGTGACATTGATGCCATTCTCCAGTGCCTTCCGGCCACTCGTCAATCTCAGCGTGCCCAGGTCACTCTCAGGTGAAGTGGTTTTAATGAAATAATGCGTGTCCTTTCCCTCAACAGTGAAGTGCAGGTTTTCCAGGTAGTATGCACTATTTAGAACAGCTGCCACTTTGATACAATCCTCATTTGCAATGTTAAGCACATTGGTCTGTACTTTGCCTTGATTGACAGCAAGCATTACTCCTTTTCCAATCAAAGATTTCACAGTTGCAAACCACAACCAGGATTTCGCACTACCAGGTCTGCGTTTGCTGATCTGGACTTCTGCCATCTTTCCTAGGGATAGGAAAGCCTTTGCTTCCCTTGCCACTTCTTGTTGCACTCCAGAAATTGGCTGAAAAGAAGAACAGATTTTTTTTTAACAAGCCTATAAATTCCAACAGTCAAGCATTTATTGGCATGGTGCCTGCAGCTGACAACATGATATGCCACAATGACACTGCTGTAGCTAATTGAATTCACAGACTGGATTCCACTCTTATAAGTTCTTGATATTTTTCAATATTTATTACCATTTTTGATTAAGAAGTTTAAAAAGTAGCACTGAATCACTCCAAAGAAAAATTCAGTTAATCAAACTATTCCTTATTGTGATGATTAACCAATCAAAATAAAATTAGAAACATTGAATGCTATGCTTCACTACTTTTTTTATATCAGTCTTTATTATGTTAATTTACATACCATGAAATAGTACAAAAATAAAATATTGTCCAGATAGAAAGATGAATGCAATAAATTGATTTGCTAAAGAATTAAAAGCAAAGACCTCTTCGATGCATACTTATAAAGTAAATAATTGCCAAAATAATTATTACCTGTATTCCTATAAGTAATTTTCTAGCGCTTTCCTTTAGTGAGTTCCTCATTGCAGAAATGAAAGGAGGCCTACCATGGGAGTTTTATGCTTGCTTATATATTTGGTTCAATTATATTTGATATTATCTATTTACTATCAGGAATTCTTATATGCTATAACTTTATCCAGAAAGGCAATGTAAGTTCCTCCCTGAAATCTCTGAACTTTCATATCTTAAATGTACCAGATGCAGAAACTTGTGATAAACTTCGCTACGGGAGAGCAGTGTCCGTACCCTGGGGCTGCAATGGGATGGGGTAGTAGCTTTAGACTACTACTATCTCTTTATTCTAATCTATCTCACAGTAATACACTGCATTTTCAACTGGTAGATCCGTGAAATAATTTTCTCCACTGGCTTAAATGTACTACATCTTTAATTTCAAAACCTTTGCCTTGCTTTTGATTTAGCAGGAAGTAGGATACAAAGGTTTATTTTGGAATATTCAAGTCACAATAGAAATTCAATTCTAAATTGTTATGAGGGCTTAAGCTACGAAAGTTTCATTTGGTGCTGGTGGACTTTCAGAGGTTTTAAATATGCATGCAGATGCATACAATGTGAGTTTCTTCTCTATTTCCTTTTTTGTATCCTCTTTTGTGACTTTATTTTGTACTTATTCCCTCCTAATCTCTCCTGTCCACTGTTATGATAATGCCTTTGGGGGTCTGCCTTCCTTCATTCTCTCGACATTGCACTGTGTCTTTGTGCTCCCTTTACATACTTCAGCAGGGAAACAGGCATGTTGGATCACTGATGTGCATGGCCCCAACAATAAAAGGCATCAATGATTTCATTGTCTCATTTTGCCTATACTGTATTTGATCTTGAACAAGATCTGAGAGAACTCACAAAATGAAGAAATGAGCTATGAGAAGAAGGACAATAGGAGCAAGCTGCAGTTTTCTCTACAGCATTTTTACATTAGAACTTCAAATATATTAAATAAATACATCAGATAACTCATCCCAAGATTTAATATCCATTTTGGGAAAAGGCCCTGGATGAATCTTTCATATCACTTATGTTAGTTTTTGTATACAGAGAAAAGAAATTATACATATTTTTATAATGATAGGACTAAGATTTCTGCTGCAAAAACATCAACACAACGTTTCTGGATTTATGTAATGTGAAATTATTTTGACTATTTTAATAGCCTGGTAAGTCACAGAGATTCTTCGGAATATACCTGAAAGGTTAACAGCTATTTAACATTTGTCATTTATTTCTGGTACTGAGAATTTGTGGGTAAATGGATTTTTGATTTCTGAATAAAATTTATAATTGCTATTTTCCTAAATGGTACATATAATTTTCTATTTTACATTTCATAGATTTTTGTAAATGATTTAGTTTTATACTTCTGTTTGGCAATATATTTTTAAAACAAGGAGTTTTATAGAGTTTGGGCTCTATATAATGTAATGTATTTTACCTGGGGTGATTTTATATTCAATATTTTATCTTCACATATAAAACATGGTTAATATTAAAGACAAGTAAAATTGTACTGCTGTACAATATGCATAATTTATGTCACCTGTTATTCTGTTTCTTTCACATTCTATTTTTTATTACATTGTTCACTTTTAGCCTGAAGGCAGGGTGCTGCTATCAATCCAATCTCTATAGCTTCCACTGGGAATGTTATAATTTGGAGAAAAAAAGGATTTTAAAATACTATTATTTATTGATTAATCATTTCCTCCCTTTCACTTCAGTTTAGAAAATGCTAAACTTAAGCATAGTCTTTAGTTATTGGACAAAAAATTCCCTACAGAATTAACATCTGTTATATAGTTTGGGACAAAAGCGTATCAAGAAACATCTCTACAATATGTTTTAATTTTTTAAAAATTCAATGTATGCCTCTGAGAATTTTTCAATAGTCTAATAGAATCTTTTATTATATTTTGTTGCAGTTTAATTTTCCTTATTTTTTTCTTACCGGTACATCATCCCATTGCTGACTCTTCACAAGTTCATAGGAGGGTTCAGTTAAATCAAATTTAGGCACGGGGAAACCTGGAATTGCATTGTGTAGATGAAAACCAAATGTCACCAGCCAACTGTTAACATCTAAAAAGCAATTATAAAGTAAGTTAGAAAAAGTCACAGGTCCCTCAATATGATTGAATAATTTGAATGAATATTGGTGAACTGGATAATGTTCTGAGCTTTAAAATATATTTGGAGGAGAAAACCCATGGCAGGGCTGTAGTTTATTTGTTTAAAAGTTGTCCTCATTTCTATACAACCAATGACCCAGAGAAAGAAAGGTAGTGAAGTTATTTTTTAAATGCACTATTTATACAATCCAAAATAATCTGAAACAATAATCTATTATTCTTTGGATCAGAGTGACTAATACTATAGATTATTCCATGTGATCCACGTAATTTCTTTATGAATATAAGGTTGTCTACTTAATAAACATAGGGAGAGCACTAGATCCTCACAACCCATGAATTCAACTATTGCAAGACAACGACGAACAAAAGAAACTACAGGATACTATGAACATGTGATCACGACTGTTGCAAAAAAAAAAAAAAAGTATTTGGACATCTTTTAGACAAAAAAGCCTCTTTAGTGAATTAATAAGATCTTAAAGATCCTAATTTGGAATATATTTGGCCTTCTGTTCCAATTATATAATTCCACAGTGTAACTGCGATTTATTCCTAAATGTTACTGCAATGTAGATATATTAAGCAGGAATGTACGGGTAGCATGATTCTCTCTAGTATATGGTAGAATCATATAGCTGTGTTATAATTAGGTAAATAAATTATGCAAATAATTCATTCTGAAAAAGAGAAGCATAGTTCTTAGATACTGAAAGCAGTTGGCATTAATATTTCAAGTGATTTACAATGAAACTGAATCCATTTCTTTGAAAGAAAAGAAATTTCAAAAGAATACAATGGTGTCCAAATATATATTTATCAGCAAAATACAAATATATTGTGAATTAAATTTTTGGATACAAAAATGCTTAAACGTTAAAATACCAGATTTCTTAGTTTAAGGCCTTTCTGTTAAGTACTTGAAAACATAGCAGAGCTATGTAAATCAAAAAGCACTACTATTTAAACTACAGATAAACCTACAACCATAAATAGCAAGAAAGAATGTTTGCACATTATTTTTCCCACTGACACATGACTGCTTGGAAAACTTTCCTTTTAAAGATCCAAGGTGTTATCATGCAAGCAAGAAATCCTAGTATGTTTCCTTGATGTATTGGCCATCTGGCAAAATAGCACTCCACTCATAATATACAATAAATTTGCAGACATAAACTGTTGCCATAGTAACCATTTAGTCAAACGGAAACATCAAAACCCCATTTTCTTTTGAATCCTCAAAGTAAAGTATTCTATAGAGACAAGAAACAAGGCCTATCCTGAGGATTTTTGATAAGTCTTATTGTCTATTAAGTCACTACATCTATCATTGGCTACAATGAAATTCTTCCCTGGGAAAAAAGCGATCATCCTGAGTACTTTCTATAGTCACAAGATCTCAGACAAATCTAATTAAGAAAAATGATATAATTATGTACTATTTTACCCAACTGTGTATACCTCTCACGTGAAGTAAGGTAGAATACACATACATTTTTATCTTAATAAAGTATATCCTACTCATATAAAGAGTATAGTACATTGCTATCAGATACTTTAATTCCAAGGTGACATATGTGTATAATGTAATTTAACAAAAACAGTAGAGAATTGTACTTTATTAAATGTACATATTTACCTGTGATATAATCTTTCACATCATGTATTCTGCTGGCTGGATTGTTGTTTCTAAACATGTACAGGTTAAAAGGAGCTGGATCTTTCCCTATTTTTTTCCAAATTTCAATATCAGGTGTAGTCCAACGGCCTGCCAATATGTCATAATCTCTTTGACCAAAATGAATTAATTTGGTTAGTGGGTCATAAAGACCTCCATGAAATCCTATCACCAGTTGGAAATCAAGGTTAGAATCAAAATAGATTTCGCCATAGGCAGTGTACTGAATCTGCTTCAGCATTAGTCCATTACTACTGAAAACAGCCAACGGGGTTCCAGTATTGTCTGAGGCGATGTAGAACTCATCTCCGCTACTAATCTCCATGGCGAATAAATGTCCTTGCAAGTCATAATAGAGAGAAGTGATTTCAGAGCTTGAGTGATTATACACGTGAGTTATTCTTGTTGGATATATGAGATCTGCATAAAAAAATTGAAGATGCTGTCCCAGACTGGTTTTACTGGAAACACGTCTTCCAAGTCCATCATAACGATATATCACTGTCCATCCACTGCCTTTGCTATAAACTCTGGTAAGAAGGCCCTTTGAACTGTATTCAAATATCTCAGTGCCCCTTTGTCGCAGAAATCCATCTTCATCTAACCGGTATTGAACATCACCAAGTCGAGTGATTCTGTCCCTCAGATCGTATCGCAGTGGTGTCAATCGAGCGCTATTACTTGGATTCAACAAGTGGAGATTGCCATTCAAATCATAGTTGTAGCGCCACATTATTTTCTCATTAAGGTAAACTGTCTGTAGCTGGCCATCAACATCATATTCATAACCATACTTGGTAGTGTTAGCAAATGGGCCAATTTTAATTTCTCTTTTAGTTACTCGGCCCATGTTGTCATACTGAATTGTAATCCAGTACATAAGTGAACGGAATATTTCATACTGAATTTCTTTTATGCGACCATGAGCATCGAAGTGTTTTGTGTAAGTCATTACAGCTGTTGAAATTATCTGATTAATATCATAATAAATAACCCCAAATTTTCCAAACTGCTCAACTTTTCCAGATATGTCATCAAACTGATAAAGATCAATAGGCAATGGAGTTTCATTGATAACACCTTGCATGCTAGTCACTCTGAAGCTATTGTCATAGCTGTAGTCAAATCGGGCATTTACCATTCCATCTTCACTAAAGCGGAAAATCTGCCTGTCAATCAATGGACCAATTTGCCTGTATCTAATGGTGCAAATAAAGCCATCACTCTGGAGATTTACTGTTTTCAGAACTCCTGCTGTCTCATCATAAGTAAAACTCACTCTTGTGCTATCATACAGAATTTCAGAAAGCCTAGTCTGCCTTCGGTATTTGAACAAGACTCTCCGGCTTGTGCCCAAGAAAGCAGTTTGTAACAGTTGTCCTTCTTCATTATAGTCCATGATGACAGAGGCATTGCTTTCTGGAGGATTGTAGATGTTCCGATAGTAGCCAATAGAACGGATAGTCTGCATAGTGTGGCGAGCTACACTGGGCATGGTTATTGCAGAAAGCCGATCCAGTAAGTCATATTCAAAGATATACTGCCGTTGGCTATGCAGTAAGAGAACCATTGACTGAAAAAGAAAACAGAGTTTAATCAAGTGCCAAAACTATTGGTAGACTAGCAACATTGTTTTTTTTTTTTTTTTTACTAAATCATCATTATTCAAATTGAGTAATGCTTGACCTTACATATTGGTAATTGCCTAATTCATTTGGATACTTAATTGTAAGAGGATCTATAATGAGTTGCTCCAGATTCCTAATGTGTTCTTGTTGTGACTGAGTCATCCTTTTATCAAGTACTCAATGCCAAACAGCAGATTGTCAATGGACTGGGATAAGTCATGTTTAATACCAACAAAAGTGAGGCTGTCTTAAGCCAGCAACTCAAGAAGGGAACAACATATGGAGGAGACAATTTCACTCCTGTAATTAGAGATAATTTACTGAGAATTTTACTAGCCTGAAGATCCCTGAACCTCCTCTTTTATATCTATTTGTCAGATGGGTGAAGCAATTGGCTTGTTATTTACATCAAATTTTGCAGAGTTAATTAGTCACCAAATGATTCCGTTTGTAAAGCTTTGGCATTACACATCACTACCATTGTTATTTTATATTACTCACATGAAGATGTATAAAACTCTCAGCATCTGTCACTGTCGGTAGCTATTTCCACCTAAGGCAAATTTTGCTCTGTCCCACTAAAGGACATCAGATTAAATAATGATAAAAGACTTCTTGTGTTTTGTTCAGTATTGCCATGCTAGGGAGTATATAATTAAGCATGCAGCACTGGTTTAATACCATATTTCATTTTGGACAATCCCCCCCCCCCCAAATTCTAGGCCAAGAATAAATTTTGCTGGACGAATATGAGGAAAACACATTAGTGTTTGTGTGCATGTATATGCGTGTATAAGAGACAGAGAGACACATATCATTGTTTAAATTGTTATATTTATGCTGCAGTTTAGAACTCTTTCAGAAGTTTGACTTGAAAGTAAATATACTGTTCTTTTTTTGGTGCAAAGTGAAAAAAATGTTTGGAAAATGTTTTTAGATTCCCTTTTCAGATTTAGGGTGGAAAAGCTACAGCTGTTTTTATTATCCTGTATTATAAAATTCGGTGTTTTTATTTGTGTTAACAGACATTTTAAGGGTAATTTCATTTGAAAAAATACAATATTAAACAAACAATTATTACAATATTGAGAAAACTGTTAGGTTAACATGACTACTCATAAAGAGTATCTCCAAATACACTGATTCTGGTTGCCACCTAAATGTGCTTCAATCTCATGTATAATCATTCTCCATGATTTCAATGACATAATTATATCCACAGGCAACAACCTAGTAAATTCCAGGAAATCAAATTTATCTTACATACTGTATATCTCAAAATCAGTTTTCTGGGATGGATTTTCCTTGCAGTGCAACAGTGAGGATGTGGGCTAGGACCAATGAGATCAGGATTCAAATGCCCACAAAGTTAGAAAGGCTTTGCAATAGCTGCTGTAAAGATACAACAGACTATGGGAAAGAACTATAAAATCATATGTGTTACTTCTAGATCTTGGAGGAAAGTGTGTGCACACAAACATGGATATCCCTTCTCTGTTGAAAACTGCAAATACCATGCAACAATCATTTTTAAAATTTTATGCAGAAATAATTTATTAATAGAACTGCAAACCAAAATTCCAATTGATAGTTGAGTACCTTTTCAAGATACGTGTAACTCCATGTTTTACCATCAGCAAATACTCTGGATACAATCCTTCCCTGCCCATCATATTCTACTTTTTCACTAGTGGTGCCTCGTTGAATGCTACCAATTTGACCTGTAGATGAATAGGTAACATTGACAGCCATAAGCTTGCTGCTTGGGAACCAGAGAGTTGGATGTCCTGAAGTATCATAGGCGATTCTCAGTAGAAATTTACGGTGATCATCATAAATCTTCTCTGTCTTTGAAGTCCGATCAAAGTCAACTGAAAGGAGGTTCCTACCATTAACCTTTTATGAAACAAATAAGACAACAAAATAAATAATGTGGGGGGAGCATTGAGCTGCTTATTATTTCTTTATAGAATCAGCCACTGTTTGAATACCATTGTTTAAAGATCATTTACAATGATTGATTTTCTTTGTCAGTAAACTAATTTAGCAGCTTCATGGCATAATAGCCAGGGATTAGGTTGCCATTTTAAAAGGTGTCATTAAATAAAGATGCACTGACATTTATTCAAAATGTTTTCAATTAATGCTGATAGAATTTAGTTAAATGTTAATATAATTCAACAATATATAAATTGAGAACTTTTATAATAACAAGATTTACAGAGGAAATTATGAAGATATAGCAGAATTATCACTATAATAATGAAAAATCAAAATAAAAGGCCAACAAATATGTTGATGAAATGTAAGAATTGTTTTTCAAATAGAGCATCAAAAATAGACACTAGCAATTCTTTCACACAATAAAATTAGCTTATTTTATAGACAAGAAAATTTGAATGTTCATTTATTTTCTAATTTTATAAGATGTATTATATTACATGTAGAATATAATATGAAGAATGTTCTGAAAGAAATTTTCTGGCTAATGGATCATCTGAGCTGTATTGCTTGAAGCCAGAAAGAAATATTCAAACTCCGAGAAAAGTAATATTCTTAAAACAGATAATAAATTATTCAGACTTTCATAAATAAAAATGAATTTTGATATTTTGACCTAATAGCCAAGGACTGTAGAATTATCTAGCCAAGTGCCATTTTTTTAAAGAAAAACCTCACTTATTAAATATTGATAAATTCTACAGCAGAAGACATTTACAAATAAATATCATTAGGAACAGGAAGTTGGATACTTTTTGCATTTCACTGAAGCAAGAAGCAATGAAAAGTAATGCATTTCAGTGATACAAAAAAAAATCTTATGATACACAGTATAAAGTATAAGCATTTATATTTTTTCTTAGAAAAAATGAGTTGCCTTTTAAATTTCAATTCTGTTATATTCCATAATTTTATTGTCTGTTATAAGTTTGCAGTTCTATTTTTCATTTAGTGTCAGGTTTTACTATGTCAAAATCCTATAAAGACATCCACTATATTTAGAAAACTTAATTCTATTGAAAAATTGATTAAAGATTCAATATCATTAGTTCTGGAACCTATCAGGAGAAAGATGATAAGATCTGTAAACTAAAATATATACTTTGTAGCAGGGGTGGGATTCTACCAGTTCGCATCTAGTCGCTAGAACCGGTTGTTAACATTCTAAGCAGACGGAGAACCAGTTGTTAGAAGAAATTACTGGCCTAATCCTGTAACGAAGGCAGGAAGGAAACATTCTGGTGTTGCTTACAGAAACTGCCTCTCCATTAACCCTTATTACATTCTTGGCAGGACTAGACTTCCTGTCTCAGGAACTTCTCTGGAGTTTTTTTCCTCTCCTTTGCTGGTACTTTGCTTGTGTGGAGTGACCATTCAAAGTTTCAATGGCTCTGAATTTAGTGACTTATGACCGTTTTTCACACTTACGACTGTTGCAGCATCACCACAGTCATGAGAGGCCAGGCGAGGAGATGCGTTCCTTGATGTGAGTGATATTGAGTTGGCCACACCCAGCCAATAACATGAACACCAAGCCACACCCACCACCCAAGCCATGCCCACAGAACCGGTTGTTAACATTTTTGAATCCTACCCCTGCCTTGTAGAGATACAAAGAATGATTTTTGCTAGGCAATAGAAACAAAAGTCCAAAGTTTTCTGATCATATTCCAGAAGTTTTTAAAAGGAGAGCATTTTAATAAGGACGGTGGATTTCTAGTCTTTAATTATCTGAATGCAGACAGAAAAATCTATTCCAAGTTGGGGTCCTGCTGTTCAAAATCTTTTTCAATAATCCTCTAGGCACCTGTAATTTGATTGAAGTATTCAAAAGTGAGGGTCAATAAGAACTGTTTGGAACGTATTTCTTTTCATCAGCCTGTTTGATAAGAAATGTTTTTGAAAGCTTTCAAAGTACACATGCATTGTATAGATGCATGCTTTTCTGGAAACTGCAGAAAAGCAGTAAGAGAGAGTAAATTATAGGTATAAAATAAGAAAAATGCCAAAGGTAAAAAAGGAGTATATCTAAATCAAGTTTACCCCAAACTATTCACGACTGGTCTCCATATACTTTTCTTCTTGCAAATCACTCTTGCTTTTAACACATTTGTGCACTACTTCTTTACACTCACAACTTGTCTCTTTTTTTAGGACCTTACCCACTCCACCCAACTACAATTTTCTCAGCCTTCCAGTTGCTCTTGATCCATTCATTCTTCCTTCAGATGTATTTTCTATAATTGGACCCTCATTCAATTCCCCCCCCCTATGAAACCATCTTACCAACCTTCACTTTCTACTAGTCACTGACATCTGTATTCACATTCTTTTGACACTCATTAATTCTTCACCTACCACCTTTTGTTTTACCATACATTTATTTGACTACCTCATTCATACTGCATTCAACTTATTTTTATGTTCCTGGCCTATTCAAAGTCCAGTTTCCACATATCAAAATAGTTAGAAGCCGGTTCTTATACACAATTAAATTTATTTCATATTATATGCAACATTCATCACACGCAAAATAATACATATTATCTATTCTTCTTTCTATCAGCTTGTATCACTTAATATGTTACTATTCCTTTCCCATTTTTAGCAAACTTTCACCAAGATCCAAGTCAATTAATGTTACTGTGATTCAAATCCTTACTCAAAGTATAAAGGTAGAAAGAAGGGATGTTTTTACCCCTTACTCACAATGGCACATCAAGACAACATCCTATTTGCAGCTATCTTTTGCAATATGCTGCTATTAACGTTTTCTCAGCAGCACTATTTGCAGAGACCTTTCTCTTAAAAGCAGCCATTGGTATACAATTCATTAGAGTAACTTCCACATTCTGTGGTACTATTGTCACTTCCACACAGTGAGCATAATTCTCACTTAATTCCAGGCAACTTCCAAATCCTCTTTCCATATATTCACTTCCATTCATTCTTCTGAGAGATTAATTTATATTCTGCCAGCTTTTCAGATACAACTCATACATTTAGTTCCTGTAATATACTTACTCTCATACATTTACTTCTTTTCTTTCATGCCTATTTTTTTTTTAATTTACTTTTGATGCTTTCAAATAATGGTTTGTCCCAGATTCATAACTTTACATCTCACCTATATTCTTCACTAATGTCTCAGTTTGTAATAATAAATAATTATATCAGTTATGTTTTTGAATCATTTACTTCCCCTACACATTCTGCTTCAATGACGTTGAAAACCAACTTTTTTGTAAATGCATGTTCACCAGAATCTTTCCATTCTTTGATGTCCAAACGGCAGTAACATTTTTTCTATACTCTATTGCCTTTTTTAATCATCTATTCATGTCACCATCATGTAACACAGGGGTGTCAAACTCAATTTCATTGAGGGCCACATCAGGATTGGGTTTGACCTTGGAGGGCCAGTCGGGACGTGGCCATGGTGGGCATGACACGGGACCCTATATCAACAAGACATGGTTTTATAAAATTATAAAAATAGGGAGACATACATTTCTGTGATTTTTTTTTGTTAATACTTACTTGATCACCTTATGAACAGACCCAGAGCAAGAAACTGATTCCATAGGAAGACTAGAATTACAAAATTGTCATAGGATACAGTAGCAGAATCCTGCAAGCCTGAAAGGTAAAGTATTTTACTTTTCCTCCCTCTTATAACCTTCCGAGTCTGAGGCTCTGTTTTGCGCCTGGAAGGCCTCCTGGAGCACTCCAGAGGTTCAGTTTTGGGCCTGGAAGACCTCCCAGAGGACTCCAGAGGCCAAAAGTGGTTGCGAGAGTGGAGCACTGCGGGCAGGTTCTTCGCTGTTTCCAGGGCTGCCCCGCAGGCCAGATCTAAACACTTTGTGGGCCGGATCCGGCCTGAGGGCCTTGAGTTTGACACCCCTGATCTAACAGAATATTTTCCCCCTGGATTGCATTCATTCAATATGTTGCACAGTTTCTCCAAACCTTATGTCTTATTGTCATTCACTGAAAAATAATATGTAATTATCATCAACCTACGAATTTTACATTCAGCAACTTCAACAACTAAAATGACATAAATTCATACTTTCTCGTATCCATTTAAGCCTTTTTATTACCGTAATTAAAACCTCCCTACTTGTATTTATCAACACCATTCCATTCTTAATTTCACAGGCATATATAACATCACTTTTCATTTCATTTGTTAATTTATGTCTTTCCCATTTATGCTTTTAGGTTCCAGTTTGCAATCTTCCACATGCCATGGCTGTAACTAGGTGGACTCATGGACACTGACCTCTGCTATCTATCATGGTGTTGGTAAATTGAGGTTTTTTCATAGAACATTCAAATGACATTGAGACAGTGCTGATTAGGTTACCAGTCTTACTAACTTCTTTCCATATGTAAGAGCTTCTGCTAAAACTAGGGACATTGCAGGTCAGGTTTTAAATACTGAAGATTTTGGATAGTATGCTACAAACACAGATAAAGCCCAATTATTTCTCAAGCATGCTTGAAGTACTTTGGTATGAAAGCTAGTATCTGTAACATGGATACTACAAACCAACATACTACAGGGAGAGCCCACATTTCATACATGCAATGAAATGAAACACACCTAGGGTTATAAACTTCATTTTTTTAAAAGTAAGAAATTATAGAGTTGATGACTACAGTTTAATGTTTAAGATTAACCTAAAGCACTGTTATGTTCTCATCTAAAATGATCTGCAATAAAATATAGGGTTGTATAGGAAGGATTTCATATTTAGTGTGTAATGCTAATGGTAAAAACTGAGGGTTATAAATCTGGAAATACACAGAACAATATGAATTAAAATATTCTTGTCTGAGGCATTGGTAACTTTAAATTATATTAGCAAGCATTATTCCTTTTTCTTTTTATTGTATTGGTTTTAGAAGACTTGCTAAAAGAAAAAAAAGTTCATTTGAAGCAATGAAAACTGTCACTAGGTCTTCTGTACTATTCATCTTAAACTAAAAATGCATTAGAGATGTAACTTACTCTGAGCTTACGGCCAAACACATTCACTTTGCCTTGTGCTTGTTCTTTTCGAAATCTCCATTCCACTAAATTCTGTCCATTTTCTCCAGGAAGAGTCATATTTCTTTTTGCTACAGTTGGATTGGCTGTACCTGCTAAAACATGTGGTTCTGTTTGGTAGTGTGTATCCAGGCCACTGGCATAGATGATTCTGAGAGACCCATCATATCCAATCTGGTAGCTATTTCTTAACTGATCTGAAATGAAACCCAACAAATATGTATTTCTAAACTAAGATTTTTCATACAAAAGTATTCATAACACAAACCAAAGCAACGTTAATGCAACATTCAGTTGCATTTAAAATATAAGCGTTTTAATTTTCAAACATTTAAAACATTAAAATTTAAATTTTTTGGTTATGACCTTTCAGCTTTATTTGACTTCTTGATGCATATTCCAATGTATGACAAATATATGCTGTAAGAAGCATTATTTTTACATCTAGATGCATCTTTAGAATCATTTTAAAAATAGAATATATATAAAAGGTTTTAATCAATATTAACTAAATATTTTTTAAACTTGTACTTGCAAATTGCATCCACAACTAGTGAAAGTATAATAATAAAAAAATAAAGACACAATCATAGGGTTTATAACTTTATTCAGGTATGTATATTATAGAAGATTAAGGCTTTAACCCTATACCTATACAAAACACACCTAGCTAACCATCTTTTCAGGCTAGTTTTCATCACAACTTGTAATAAATATAACAGTGTTTTTTCTTTTATTTTTTTTCTCTTGAAGATTATTGCTTCATTTAATTTGTTAACGTACCTTGGACCATTGTATAGAAAGAATCAATTGAGGATAGATTTGAAGTGATGCTGACATCATCTTCTCTGCTAGATGATTCAATGTCTACAGTAATAGCCCTTTCCATTTCTCCATGTAGATTAGTGACCACTCCAGTTGGAAATGTGACATTGGTCAATCTGCCTTCACTGTCATAGCTAAAACAATTTACACGAACAAACAAACAAACAAACAAACAAACAAACAGAAGCAAGAATGGATTGTTTTTACTCACTGACTCAAACTAGAAATTTCTGCTGATAATACTGTGATAAATTTTGAGGTTTTACACCTGTATTATGCACAATGAAAAAATGAAGAATTTGTTGCATTTATTGAAAGCTTTTTGGTAGAGGAAAAAAACAATGGCTCTCAAGTCTGCATAGATGTCTCTTTGGAGTGTGACCAAGCCCTATTACAATCTAATTTGCTATTTAAAAGTAGTATATTTTATAGGGATAAATTGTTTTATGATCCAAATATGCTTTCTATAAGGGAAGATTTAATTCAGTTTTATACAAATGTTACATTTAGTGGTTTTTATTTTTCTTATTTTTAATTTAGTATGGGCCTTATCTGTTTATGAAGAGAGTGAACTTTGTTCATATACATTACTGACAGCATCACATTCTTAATGATACAATAAGCTGTGATAGGAGTACTAATATCATAGGACCATTGTGATGCATACACTGGGAATAAAAATTGAATGGAAAAAGATAAAATTCTTAATATAAAAGGAACAAGTGGCACTTGTAACTACATACTACAGTATCGAATGATCCTATTCACTGTTCGCTTAATCTCCTTTTCTTTCCCGATATGTTTATTTCAATACTGCATGTGTTTATTTCCTGAGTGATCTGTGTACTCAATATCCTTACACCTGGATTGATATTAATAAATATCCTTTGTGGAGATAGTTTGATAAAGCAATAATATACATACAATATCTTGAAATCCAGAAATAGAGAAAATGGCATGACATGCGGGAACTGGTCATCTTCTTTTGTGCATAATTTCATATATATTTTTTCAAGTATTTAATAATATTTCTTTAAAGGAAGTCACAATAAATGTGATCATTTGCAAATTAGTGCAGGGGTTTCTTGTAGCAAAATCTCTGGTACAAAATAACTTTTAGCAGATTGCATCTTTAAGCTGTATATTAGGGAAAACTCCCACTTTGATCTGTAGTGTTCTTCAAATAATTCTTTGCCCCACATAGAATATTTAAGTAAAGCTAGCCTTCTATAAATACAGAGGTTAAAAAACAGAGAATAGGCAGGCTGATATTGGACACATGCTTATTTTGAGAGTTTATTATGAAGAAATAAAGAAATATCAGCAATGTGCCCTCTTGTTCTCATCGTTGTCCCTACATTTTCAAGTAGGAGAATGAGATGAGTTTATAGTGCTGGACATGAAATGGCTCTAACATGGCAAGCAACAGAGAAAAGACATGATCTACCTTTGTAAAAGCTACTTTTTTGAGTGGGCATCAACCCCATTAAATCCTATAAAATGGTATCACTGCTATCGTGTTCTTTCTGTACTACACAGATTTTTGTACTAGACAAAAAAAGTGCAAAAGAATTCCTCATTAAAAGTCATATCATGTACAGTATATGCTTCTTAGTTGCTTTTATGCTACCTCGTGTTCTTCTGTCTAAGCCATTTCTGCCCTTCTTTATATCTACATGCATTTTAAGCAGTCAATTTTTGATATTATTACTTTTCTATTCCAGCTAAGGATATTGCTAAAATGCCTAGCTTGAAATCCTGTACTAAAAGTATTCATTTCTTCTCATCCAGGAATTCCTTTTTGAATTGATGGACAGTCTACTTATAGCTCTGAACAAATCTTATAACTATTCTAATGCTAAGCAATAAAAATCAGAAAAATGTCTGCAAAATAATTTTAAGTTATGTGTTTGGTCTCTAAAATCATGTGAAAATTACAGAGGAAAATTAGATAATGTGATTAAGACTGAAATATATTTATGCATTGTTAATGAATGGTGACAGATATTTAAAAGAATAGATCTGAATAATAATCGTTGAAGGTGATTAAGAAAGGAAGGCATAACTTACTGTCTGTTTGAAAAATGAATTTCAAAACGGACAGCTTCTTTGACCCCCTAAATGGATTGCAGCCCCTCCCCTCCCAGCTTTTGGCATGCAAGCTTTGGAATTCAATTCCAGAAGCAATCTGCGCAATTAACAACAGGGTGAACTAAACTATAGGTAATCCTTGCTTTACAAGCTTTTAATAATGCTCAAAGTTACAATGGCATCAAAACAAGTAATCTACAACCTGTCTTTCACATTATGACAATCGCACAACCCATGGTCATACGATCTCAATAGGGGTGCTTGGCTACTGGCTCACATTTGTGATAGTTGCAGTGTCTTGCAATCATATGCTCATGATATGTGACCTTCCCAGCTGGCTGCCAGCAAGCAAAGTCAATTGGGGAACCATGCAATTCACTTAATGGTCATCGGGTTTGCCTAATGATCATGGTAAAAACGGTTGTAAACTTGGGTCTGGTTACAGGATATCTCACTTAATAATTTAATTGCTTAGTGACCAAAAAGCTGGGCCCAATTGTGGTCATAAATTGAGGACTACTCTAATTACAATTGTCTATTTATTTTATGACAAACCTGATATTGCTTTTCAAGATACTCAATATGGATATGGAAACTCATATTCAGTTGAACTTAATTAATCTATTGGTAGAGAATCTTTAGAGCATCTGTCTAGATATTTGGCAGAAAATATATCAACTTTTCCATAGGTTCATAGTTATTTGGCATATACTGACATTTTTATTTTTAGGATGCAAAATTAAACACAAGAGACTTTTGCACAGTACTGCTTGTGCACTTGCTTCACAAATTTTGTACTGAAAATATATTCTTATGTATCAAAAAAAGTTGAACAATTTATACAATCTGAAAAAAACAGTATTACTTTTCTGCCTTGGGCTAAAATCAAGTGTGCAGTAATTACATATTAAAGAAAAATCCTGCTTCTTAGTTATTATGTAGAAATATGCATTTATTTTGCATGGTTAATAGGCAATTTTAAAAAATCTAGTCAAATATTCATTGGCTTCTTAGGTGTACAACATGTTTTCAGCTAACTTTTTTTTAACAGAAGAATACCAAACTTGGATTTTCTAGCCCTAAATTATCGAAGTAACCTATTTATTTTTAACATTTTTACATTTACCCATAACACATTAACAAACTTAATTAAGAAAGCATGTAACATTGTTAAAAGTATGAACTGATTTTCACATTATTTCAAAACAATAGTTATTAAATAAACACATCTGCTTTTTTAAACTTTCAAGATATATGTCATTGCTGTATTTCTGAATTGGATTGGGTGCAACTTGAAAGTAACAACATCAGCAAAAAGGTATTTTGCTTCCCTTTATTTCATTTCATTTTTTACTTCTGGGAAATAAAACGTCCCATTTCACAATTTCTTTTCATTCGGGGTTACATTATTTTCCTCAAAATATGTCAAGCACAATAAATTTCCAGGAATACTTTAATAAGCAGTTTTTAAAGGTACTTTTTGAAATTCACTTCACTTTGTTGATTTTGAAAATAATGATCTCTTCTTTCACTAGATAATAACATTTAGTTATCTCTTACAAGCCAGGAGCTAAGAGTTCCCTCACAATGTATATTCAGATATTCTAAATCTCATTAATTAGGCGCTCCAAAGGTTTGTATTATTGTAACTTTATATTTGGGGATGACCCAGGGTTTTTCTAATGTCTTTAGTGTGATTGTATATTTGTAGGTAAAAAGATAGACAAAAGATTTTAAGGAAATCACAGTATCTTTTGCGTGTTTTGTGTTTAGCAATGTTACAATCAAAATGTTGAAGATAATTTATTATGTATATATATGTGTGTGTATGTATGTGTGTGTATACACACACACATACACTGCTTGTTGTATGGGTGCAATGTTTTCATTTGTTAAAATCAAAGTCAGCATGAGGATCTATTATCACCTTTCATTACAGTCCTCACAACTTAAAGAAGATGCACAAATGGGATCAAAACTCTAATTTTTGTTAGTTTTTCAAAACCATAAAACTGCAACACTTTAAAAACCGACAGCAGGAGTAACAAGATATTCAGCAGCATCAATTCAATTAATGGTTTTTAGTTAAGCTAAATGTTTACAAGCCAGAAAGTCATGGAGGAAGCCGACTGTGTCTTTACAAAATGTTCAGTTATGGATTGATACATAACACATCACTGGCAAGAACAATCTCATAAGAAGACATTTTTATTGGATATTACATTCCTAACTGATATGGAAAGGATGGGATCCATCAACTAAATAAAATCCTGGCCCATTTGGCGGTTATATGTCAACAAAAAGCACTTAGAACCTGGCGTTATAGCAAATTGGCAGCCAGTATATTTCCATCCTAACACTAGATAACCCTTTTAGCCCTTTAATTAGCTAAATTAGCTGTATAAAGCTGAATATGCAAAGTAAACTCAGGTTGGGGTGAGGTTTAAAAGTATCACCATCTAAAGTCACCTTAATTAATTCAATTTTTTAGTTTATTAGCCACAGGGTATTTCATTGTCACAATGGTTCTAACTGGCAAATTGGCTAGCATTGGGAAAAGGAAAAGGAGTGTGGATTTTTTAGTAAGTGGCACAACTTCTATACCTTTGGAATTTCTGCACCCTTTACACCTGTATATATTTACCCTATCAGAATATACACAGGAATTTCTCCTATCAAAATCAAATTAGTTATTAAAGATTGGAAAAGAAGCAGGGCACGAAGAGTCTAGCTCAGAGGCCCCCAACCTTTTGGGTGCTAGTGACCAGCTCCAACAGAGGGAAGTTTTTCTGTGGACCAGGGAGGCGTGGTTTTGAGTGCTGCCTAGATCCTGAGCACGTGTGAATGGGGTTTCGCTTGCTTTCATGACTTGGTTCCTGGAGGGCCAAGTACCAGTCAGTGGCCAGGGATTCCTGGTCTAGCTTATGTGAGAAGAGGAAATGCAGCTTAGATTTGGGGATTGTTGAAAAAACTGTTTCAAAGAGACTGAACCTTACTATATGTGGATGGGAATTTAAACTTATCATTTTTAAAATTATTTTTA